TTGGACAGGGACCATTCCCTTGAAATCCCAGGTTCCCAGCTTTCTCAGTTCCCGAGTTGCCCAAATTCCAGCCAAAAATTTTCACGAGGCCGTACGTGGCAACCACGCACATTGGGGGGCTGACTTTGATAAACTGAAGTTGTAAATGAGTTGGGAACATTTTCTGAAAATTTCAGCCTCCCAGCTTCCTTGCTTCAGGAGTTAGCCATTTCCCGGCACAAATTTTCACGGGGCCGTATGTGGCAAATACGCATAATGGGGGGCCGATTTTGACAAATTTAACTTGTAGGTGGATTGGGCACATTTCCTGAAAGTTTCAGCCTCCCAACTTTCATGGTTCCCGAGCTAGCGATTTTCGCACCAGGAACCCTCACGGGGCCGTATGTGGGAACTGACCCTCACGGGGCCGTACGTGGGAACTGCGACCCCTCCCCCCCGCCGGGGCTGAATTTGAAATCTTTGAGTTTTACTTGGACTGGAAACCTAATCCCAAAATTTCAGCTTTCTGACTTTTCTGGTTCTCAAGTTAGCAATTTTCCCGCCACAACTTTGAGGCGCTCGTAGGCACACGCACACGCACAAGCACACACACATGAGGCCACACATACACACACGCACGCACACACACACACAGGGGTCGTCACAATATGTGTTTTTGCATGTTATGCAAAAACGCATAACTAGATAGATGAATAAATAATAACAGTGGTAAACTGCTTTCATTTTACAGATTCCACTTTACATAGTTCATAATAAAGAAATAGCATTGGATGGCAATAATCCGACAATGCTCGATGGTTATGGTGGCTTCAATTCTCCCGCTATGCCTAGTTTTTCGATTTCTCGCATTTTATTCCTCAGTTATTTCAAAGGGCTTTATGCAGTTGCGAATTTGCGGGGCGGAGGGTATGTTGATTTCAGTATTAATAAGGCGTTCGACTCCATCATTTTATTGACCTGTAGATTCCTAACAATGAAAACACTGATTTCATATACGACCGTGAAAAAACACCTGTCATCCTTCACCCCGCTGCTTGCTTCGTCGCTGCTACAAGTTATTCTTTTTCTTCCATCAGTGATTGCATTTCGCATTTGCACACCACTTTTGTCACCGCGGTATTTACTGAAGAAACGGATGCAGTTCTTGCGGTTTGGCACTTTGAGGACATCGACAGTCTTGTGAAACACTCCAGTCGGTAGCATTTCTCTGTGGGTTTTTCGGCTGAAATTATGTTTATTTATTTCTTGGTCAAAGCAGGCGTAGCTGTGAACTTAACCACTGTTTATCAATCTCTGCGCTGGCTTCCGGCGGCTTGCATCACCTTTGTTTTTGATGCTTTAATTTTCAGGCCCACCTTACGCGTTAAGGTTCCGCAGTATCTCATTCATCTCACAAGCCTCGCTGTAGATGAAAAATATGTAGCCGCGAAGCGTATAACTTGCCACTGTTGTCCAGCTCGCCTTCTAGACTAACTTTATAAATACTAGCTTCAGGCATTGTAGAATGGCGTTGTTCTGTCTCGTTGCTTCCTAATCTTTATCGATATGCAGACTGAAGTGAGAAAAATTGCAGTTTTGGCCTATGAAATTCTTAATGATATTCCTATGTTCTGATATCGGTGAACTTTCCACCTCAGCAGCAGCTTTGGCTTTTTTCGTGTTAAAGTTGGATCGTGTTAAACTATTTTTTGCCATGCAGTGAAATTAAAAACTGTGCGAGAAACATCTTACGAAGTTTAGTGAATACGGCGAGAAATGGCACCAAGCTGGTATTCGCGAAAGAAAGCAAAATGTTTTTGATGATTTCATAGCAGCTGCTGAATATCTGATCAATAACAATTATACATCGCCTAAAAAGTAAGCTAAACTGATTGAAAAAAAAAAACTGCATGTGATAATTTTCATCGCAGCTTTTTCAAATTCCGTTACAGTATTTTAACTGGTGACTTGGTATTAATTATGAACCTGGATCAGTTAGTACATCACTGCCAGTTCTCCAGCTTTGCTGTTAGCATCTTTCTCGGTTACTGTCTTCTGATCAGTATTTTTAGTTGCTTTGACCAACGCTGCGTTACGTAATAGGCCTGTTACCGCTCCTGTATATTCGTCTTACCAGCCCACTACCGACAGGGAAATGTTTAGCAAAGCCGAGACTTAGTGCGCCAAGACTTTTCTGTTCGTCTGATTTTTCAATTCAGTTTTATACGTATATATATATAAAAGTTAATCAAAAAATTATATGTGTCATGATTAGTATCTTTACTAAGCCACGTCGAAAAGTCAGTGGTGTGTGTTGAGTATGATCATCTCCTCTCGAACACTGCCACTTGTAGGTGGCGATGGGGCATTTCACAGACTAAGAGAACAGCATTACCAATATGTTTCAAGTACTAATATGTCTCAGTGTGTTTTAATTCAGTAATTTTTGCCAAAAATGATTAAATTTTGTTCTCACTCATGACATGGCAAATAACATTGATAAAATTTTGCCTCCATTACTGAATTGGCAATTATATACTAAATAACTTGGATCATTTGTTATTTTTTTTAATGCACTTTCACACAGAAAATTTTGATATTTAGACTGATAATCCATGGCGCTTCAAATGGTGGTTTATTAGTTGGCGCAGTTTCACAGCAGCGTCCTGAACTTTTCGGTGCTGTAATAAATCGAGTCGGGTGAGTTATATATTCCATTTTGTAATCATTTCCCTAACTGACAATTTTATAGACTGTTTCTGTTCCTATTTCTTTTTCTAGATGAATTATAGTTCAGAAGGCAATAGCTTTGATTACCACGTTACAGAGTGTTGGATATGCTTCGATTTCACAAATTTACAATTGGCGCCGCTTGGGTTCCGGAATATGGCGATCCTGATGAGGCGGCTGACTTTGATTTCATTTACAAGTAAGCTAAGTCCTTTTCCTACTTATTTCGTGTTTTTTATGAATTTATTTAAAATACAGAGTAATTAACTTTCTGCAAAAATTGCAATTACCAGTTATTGCTAGCAATTCGTTATTTTCATTCCTTTGGATCCTTTTTTCAGTTAATAGTAGAGATAATAACAAAATTCAAATGAAAATTACAAGTCCAAGCTTTTTACCTGTTTGGAAAATAATAATACTTTGGCTAGCTTTGATTTTCCATCAAAATCAGTAATTCATTTCTGACTGTATCATGATCAAATCCCTTCCATGCGTTTTTTTGCAGCAATGCAATGCGAAAAACGCATATTGACGAGAGGTTGCCTGCGTGTGTGTGTCTGTGT